AAATGTATGGAGAGCAGTATGGAGAATATGCCTACTGATGTTAGGGTGTTAAGGGTTAATGTTACTGGGTCACCTGTTACTGAATACATGAGAGACTGATGGTGAAAATTTCACCTATGTATCAGTGTGCTACTAGAAGTACCGAGCCCTTAATCTTTTCTCCTTTTCTCCCTTTTTTGAAAGGAGTCAAAGCTATCTAAATGGAATTTCAAAGTTTTGAAGATTCTCCGAAAAGATTTTAAAAATGTGTATGTTTCCAACTCCCACACATCTGGCCGTCAAAAAAAAGAAAAATGGCGCGTATAGTTTGCTCGCACAAAACGAAGTAAACTCGACCATATTTAAAATTCTGCGTCACAAGCGGATATGAATGCCTCGTATCAGTTATTGTTTAGAAGCTACAGTCGAACCTGTATTAAGTAGTACTGTATTAAGTGGTCACCCTGTATTTAGCGGTCGGTTGTCAAAGTCCTGAATTTGTGTCCCCTTTATCAGTCATTTACACCTCTGTTGAGCAGTCGTGGTCACCTTTTAATGAGTCCCAAAGGCCTGTTTGTATTGTCCTCCACTTGTGTTTAACAGTCATTTAAGAGGAACCACTCAAATAAAACCACGAATAATCTTTGAAGTAAAATTAGATCCATGTTTCTCTCCCGAAATCAATGTTGGAAGTATTTTTTAGCAAGTTTTTGTTACCCCTCCTCTGTGGAACCTGTATTAAACGGTCAACCGTTTAGTCTCTGTATTTAGTCTCCTAGGGTGACCGCTTAATACAGGTTTGATTGTATGGAGATAATCTAGTGTCCTTGGTTTTTTTTCTCGGAAAGTATAGGCCTGTGTTCCGTTACCAAAGTAAGAGTTTTTCACACTGCTTATCTGTTTTTATGTTTTCTTTGTATCTAGGGGTTAGAGAATAAAGTTAAAGGCAAAGAATTTTCTGCCGCAGATGAAATTTACCTCACAGCAGATGAAGAAGAAAAAATAGAAGAACCAGCGCCCAAGAAAAGTAGAGAAGGCTGAGATTGTTTTCAAAATTGTCGCTAAATCATCCGACAGCCTACGACGTTTGCTCCTATTTCCTTCCTTAATTGAGTCAAATTGATCAGCGGCCACTAGGCGGCCACTTTAAAATCAAGCCATTTCATGATTGTGTGAGTTCTCAGGCGTGGTTTCATAAGATTTCCCAATCATTTCAAAACAAAAAATTCAAGGCGATCTGAAGTATTTGAAAACACAACAGTACTAGCACTACGACCCGAACGATCATGATGATCGGATAGAGGTAAAGAGTTCTATCGAGACGAGTATTTTCCCGATGGTCCCACGGGTCAGTAGTAGTCCATACTGTGTTTCCACATAATCTTCCCAATCGTCTGGTAGATAACCATTTAAGATTTAAGATAATCATTTTTATTGGCCGAAATCATAACTTCAGACACTTACAGAACCACGGTGGGCTAGTGTCTAAAGGTGACCGAAGCAAAATATCAAGAAAAGGTTTTTGAAGTAACTTCTTGGGTGTTATGGTTGAAAAGTCTTTGAAGCACTTTGCAATTTGTTTTCCTTGCGCGTGAGTGATAATTTGTGATGACAATTTATTGAGCACTTGAGGAATTGCCGACGCAAAAAATGTGTGAAAGCCGTTAAGGTATTGGTTAACTGTATTTTTGATTGAAGTAAGAGCAATGATGTTTCTATTGCAGGTAGATGAGATATCTGAAAAAAAGTTACGAAATTCTGATACATATTTAAATTATGAACAATATTGATCAATCAGTATGTTCTGGGAACTTAGCAACTGAAAGTTTAATCGTGAAGTATTTGCATGGATGATTATTGTGGAGTGAGAACTGAAGCATTACAGAACAATGACGGTTCTACCATTTTCCGTCTGCTTTTAGTATTTTTGTGCAAAGGGATATGATTGTAATGTGATTAAAAGATTTTCGTCATTTTCCTGTTGACTGAAACGATGTGAGGAATGGTATTTTAACGAAAATGAATAGAAGCTAAATTTATTTTATCCGCCATAGATGTCATGCGCAGACTCGCTATTGATCAGAATTGCATTTGCCAAAGCGGTGCGAGACTGGTTTGAATGGCGCCGCCCGAACGAGAAGATTTTAGTATACCACAGTATACGAATTGTCTCTTTTTGGCAATCATGGTTCTTAAGGCTGTGGCTACAAAGGAAAAAATTTTCTTATGCATTACATGATATGCGACTGGAAGTTCGTAGGTTGCAGATTGTAGCAATGCGCCTGTCAGTTTAGTCAAGAACAGACCTGACATGAAAGCCCTGGCCTATGTATCTAACTTCAGGTCATTTAAAATTCTTAACATGTCCTTAGCCCAGTATCGCTTTTCAGATCTAAAGGGAAGCGAAAACAAAATTGCCTTCGGTTAGCAGAAGTGTCAAGTTATTACTCGTTCGGGTAACCAAAGAGATTGGGAGGCCCTCCGTACCCTTCCCTTAAAACCTCCACAAACCTTCCCTTAAAACCTCAAACCTCCTTGGCAGAAGTGTCAAGTTACTGCTCGTTCGGGTAACTTAAGAGATTTGGGAGGCCCTCCGTACCCTTCCCTTGAAACCTCCACACACACACACACACACACACACACAAACACACACACCCCCCTCCACTTATTTGTTAAGTTGTGATGTTATCAAACGCTTCCCCCACCCCTGAAGGGATATATTTCTTCATTCTAGTGTCCTTTCCTGTGACTGGCGTCTAATGGGGAGGGGGTAGGTGGGGAAAGTGGGGGGAGGGGGGGTGAGACAATCTACCTTTCGCCCGTCTTCCATAGCTCTTATAAGCTACTCCCTTACTAGCATTTTTTGAAATGATTGAATTTTATTTGGCCATATTTACATTAAAATTAAAATATGCACAAATTCAAGCTTCCGCTTTCTTCAGTCTCTGGGCACCTCAAGAAATGCCGAAGATTGGTAGTCTCTGGACGTACATTCAATCTATTAAACTTCTATTAAAATAATTATTATTTGGATGTATCCGTAAGGTCTGGGGACGAGACGTGAGTCTTTTGGAGGTCTGGGGTTGAGTGAGGACAGCGAGGATTGAAAGAGAGCAGAATGTAAACAACAATCTAACATGGAGCTATGGTTTGAATGGGAAGAAAATAACGAAGAACATTTGTCCTTTGACGACAGCGATCGCTTTGAAGAAGATTCACTTTGTTCCTGGGTTTCAGAGCCAGAAAGTCTCTGTGGAAATTGGCGAGGCTGGAAGAGAAATTCTCAAAATGGCGTCCAGTTTGGTTCAGACTTGGGTGAAGGGACAGTCGAAACTCTTATTGAAATTTGCGCTAGGACAGTAGCAGAACATTTTCCTTTTGAAACTGTTGAGTGCAAATTTCCTCAGATTCCTGAGCAGCTCCAGCAACGAATCGCTTTTTGGTCGTTTCCGCTCTTTGAAGAAGACATTCGACTCTATTCGTGTTTAGCAAATGGCTCTCCGGATAAATTTCTGGAAGGGGAACAGCTTCTCAAAGTGCAGGCCGTTAAAGATGTACTGCAGATTGGTAAGTGAATTAAGACTTCGCCGGTAGCCTGTTTCACCTGTTTAAGTCGAACTGTCGCAAGAAGGCTTGCCATATGTGTTAGGCTGTAAACCATGTATTGAAATAGTTTGGCACCGAAAATGAATCAATATAATTGATGTTGGCCATTTGTAAACAGTCAGCTCTGTAGGGTGTATTTCAATTTCAAGTTTGTTCAGTGATTTTATTTGTTTTTTTTGTTAGTAATCAAACCCACAGCGAACTTCATTTGTTGTATCGTGTCGGTGTGAAACGCTTCCAATAAAATCCCTTTGAACAACAACTCTTTATAATTCTGAGATCTGAATACTTATTCCTCCTCACTGATGATAGTGCAATTTTAAATGACCAGTCCTTGACCTTGAGCAAAATATTGTCTTGTCCCTCCCACTCAATTAGTGCATATGTTTCAGCATCTTCTTTCTCCATGAGGATGTGTTGGTAATGTGAGGAGAAATTTATTTTTGGTCACTTTTGCTGGAGCAAGGGTTAACTGACTATCAACCTATGTCAACAGTTTGTTAAGTGATTGTGAACCCTTTGTTAATTAGCCGACATGTACACATCAATTGAGTGTTGGCCAAGTTGTGAAATGATAAATCAAGTCCTGGACAAGCTGGCAATCGATACATGTAGCAGATGTAAAACTGTTTACATGTTCATGCAAAGGAAAACTATGTTGAAAAATAAAATGAATGTGTTGATGATCACTCAAACAAAGGACATAAAAATGCAATGTCATTTTACAATGCAAGTAGCATGCCTCTGTCACTACCTTTCTATACTTCACTACATGTATTTTGCCATACCTCACTTCTTCACCTTATTCATTGATGTCTTGACAGACAATGTGGAGTTACAGTTATCCACATATGCAGCTCAGACTATTTTTCTTCATAGGCCTCTTTTAAAATAGGTGGCATGATTATTTTCCCTTTACAAATATGCAGATAAGTTTCTTAACCTTGCTTTTGAGTGGAAATGGTATTGTGACTGAGAGCTTGGAAGACTAATATGCACACATGTTAAAAAAAACCAATAACAATAATGCCTTTCATATATGACAGAATTTAGGAATAAGTTCCTTTTCCTCTTACTTTAGCATGATCTTCTCTATGCAGGTTTTCATTTAAGTGGCACAGTTCACCAACCTCACAGTGTTTGCCAAAGCAAAGGAATATTTAATGTAGCCGTCACATTTGACAGAGGCCACATAACCTCTTGTAATTGTACTTGTGATCAAACTGCAACCTGGTGTTCTCATGTAATTGCCTTGTGTCTTTTTCGAATACACTTCCCAAAGATGGTTTGCCTAAGAGCTCCAGTATCAGAATATTTATCTCGTTTGAGACGGGATCAGCTCCAGAAGTTTGCTCAGTATCTCATCACAGAACTGCCACAACAGGTAATAATACTATTGAATTTTCACCAATGATTTAAATGTTTTGACACTGTTACAGAGACCAGATCTTTGCAAGTGCAGACATGAGAAATAAAATGTTTAACTGTCAAACTGTCATCAATGTTGATTATGGCTTTTGAATTTGGCAGCCCATTTGGTTCACAACTTGATTTTATTTGTTTTGGTTTTACACAAGCTTCTCCCAACTGCTCAAAGGCTTCTTGATGAGCTACTGTCTTCACAAGAATCCACCATTAACTCTGTACCAGGTGCTCCAGGTAAGAGTCAGTGGCTGTTTTTTATTTATTGTTTGAACTAGTATTGTTACAGCTACTCCTTTTGTGGGATACAAGTTCACTGCAAGACTAACCGCTCCCCTCTCCCCTCAGTATTTCATCAGGTAATCCATAACCCATTTGCACTCCTGGTTGGAAAGTGGCATTGCAAGTGGGAGTGAAGTGTGTTTTCTTAGAACTCAGCACAAGACCTTTCTATTTGGATTGCACTATGACAACTATTAAACCACTGTATCCCCATTTTTGGGAAATGTTATTTTTATAGACACTACAGTCAGCTGTCAAACTGATTGACAAAGCAGACCGTGTAATATTTGTTTACAAGATTTATTCACTGTGTTTGCCAAGATAACCAATTAAAAGTTTATTTAATGCAGTGCATGGAAAATTAGCTATGCAACAGTGCTAAAATGTCATTCATTGTCAAATAGACATCAAAACTATGACATTCTTGACAATTAAACAGCTCTAAAGAATGCTTTGTGTTGGCCTGGAAAGGATCCTCGTTTATGCAGTGTATCCAGCCACAATTTGTTATTAGACAGACAAGCACACTTTTAAGAATCAATGACATCATTCAGTGTTTGAAATCATCTTTATGGTATTTGTTAGATCCCACAGCAGGGCCATCAGCTACAGATCATTCAAAATGGTGTTTGGATGAAAGTTCTCTCCATGAGAACATTAAAAAGATGCTTGTGAGATTTTGTGGCCCAAGTCCTTTGGTATTTAGTGATGTGAATGCACTCTTTTTAGCAAATACTGCTCCACCCACAGCTGCTGAATGGTGAGATACACATTGGCTTAGTTTTTAAATTTACTTTTAATTAGGTATGGGTTAATTTACTGAATAGCATGAAACTTTTGTGGTTGATTTATCTTGCGGATTGGCAATTTTTTCTTAGAACATATTGTTGCAGCTCTTGCTCCTGTTCTTAGTTTCAATTTCTGTGGGGAACTAACATTTGCAATTTTAATATTAAAAAGCAGAGCTGAAACAAGACTAATATGAAAAGAAAAGTAGTTTTTTTCCAGTTTGTTGTTATTCTGCCCAGAGGGGAAATACTCAGTATACAATGACTTAAATATTTCCTGTAAGTTCACATATGAAGAATATTTAGTGACACATGGTTTGCATCCAGATTTTTTCTACAGGACTGAATGCAGTTGAGTTGCTGTGTGTACATGTGTATGCTTCAGCTTAAGTTTTTTTCATTTTTTTTGGGGGGGGGGAGAGTATTTGTTTTTGCTCAAGGATAATCAACCAGATCCACTAATGAGGTGCCTAACTTACACTTACAACCTTTACATCAAAATAAAACAAAACCCTGCATCAGTTATTTTGTACCTCACTGCACCATTTCTTTCTCTTTTTTTCCATGCATTTCATGTGCAGGTCAAATATACTCAGACCTTTAAAAGGACGAGAGCCTGAGGGGATGTGGAACCTTCTGTCCATTGTTCGTGAACTCTTCAGCAGGGGTGACATGAATGCAGTGAATCTTCTGGTTATTCTCACAGAAGAATGTCTAGCCAATGATCAGGTGCTAATTTGGTGGTATGACAGTCGGAGTCAAGCTTCAGGGAATTCCCCTTCTCATAGTTATGGAAATAATTACAGGGGGAACACCAATACTGCAAGCACAGAAGCAACTAAACATGCTTGTGCTGGATTTTGTGACGAACTTGTGGCATTGTGGAGACTGGCGGCTTTGAATCCCAAGTTGTCAAATGATGAGAGGGAAGAGATGAAGATGCAATTGCAAGAGTGGCATCAAAAGACTGTAGATAAAGGACAAACAGGTAATGGTCAGTTACTCTAAACATTTGACAATTAGTGGAAAGAGTTAAGCAAAATGTGAAGATTAATTAGTTTGAGAAAGCTGCAGGTTAAGGTAAACAATTGCTCAGGGAGACAAAGGCAAATATTGATATTTAGTGATAGCCAAGTTCCATAATTCTTTTATCATTCCATTTTGGAGGAAATCTGGTGGTCAACAAGTTCTTTGTCTTCCTTTATTTCCTTACCTCGTTTTATTTAGAAAATACTTATGGGGATCTTAAAAATGTATCAAAAATAACAACGTCAGACCCCAACATCAGGAGCTACAATCCATACTCTCTGTGAGAAGTGTATGGATTGTTTTATGTCCCCTTCTATCCATTACAGAGAGGATTCAGGAGACCGAACCTACGGTTTATCATCCTTGTCCGAGAAGACTAGAATGCCTCAGTATTAGCTTAATCTCCTTAGTAGTCTTACGACCCTGAGTGTTTGATCCAGTCTGGGGCTTGACCTCTCCTACTCCTGCACGGCAGTCTAGGCCTTATAACATGGCTTAAAAACAAGTGCACTTATTTTTATTGAAAGTTATGAATTAATTTTACCAACAGACATGAGGAAGATACGAGGTTGATTGAATTGAATATTAGAGAATAACCCTGAATATCGCGATTTCTTCAGGGCGAGGTGCCAGTGTTTCGATTCCACCTGCAGCAATTTCATGCTTTCCTGGTTTTCTTGCTGCAATAGAAGCTTGTTCTCTCAACTGGAAAAATGTGGATGTAGGTTTAGTTCCCAAAGAGAGAAATCATGAACCCCAGCTTTCTTCAGCGCTGAAGAGCGATACAGGGACAGCACAATCCTGTGGGAGCACAGAGACTGGACTTCATGAAAATGTCTTATCTTCTATTGAAAGGTATGTGTAGCATTATAAGAATCAAATCCTCTTTGGTGTAGTTTCAGAGCTGCCTCAAACTATCGAAATATTGGCTCCCAAGCTATACAACCATATGTGTTTTTTTTCTTTAAGTTTCTACAGTTTTAACTTTATTTTTCACGTAAAAACCAGAATTCTCTGGCACTAGACATGAGTTCATTTTTCAAGGAGACAGAATTTTTTGGGATCTATCAATAAATTGCAAGAAAGGGAGGGATTTGAGATTGAAGTGAGATGCATTGAGAGGGATACAATAATTCAGTTGTGGAAATGGTGGTGAGCAGGACTTGGGGATCGAGAGGCCCTGATCCTGGCTGAGACCGCAAAATGGTGTTGTTTTCTTTTACAAAATACTTAATTTTCACAGGGCCTGTCTTCACCCAAGTGAATCAGTAAGTCCTGAGAACTAGAAACTGGCCGGAAAACTTGAGAAATTAGGGGAGTGACCTCTGTTGCTCCTGCGTCTTCTCGGGCGGGCGGGCGGACGGGAGTTACAACACTCCTTGTAGCTTCTTGCTCACAAAGAAGCTTACAAGCTCCGCACCAGCGGTTTGGGCTAGCGGTATGGGTCAGTAGGCGCGAGAACAGACTTGAATATCTGTACACTGACAGTTGTGATTAATTTTAGCCCCATTGTTAGCGTCAGCCCGGGTACAACTGAAGAAAGCATCAGCAGTTCATCAGCAGATGAGCACAACCCAATTTTCGATGCCGGTGAAGATTTACAAGTCTTATGTGCACGAATGGAGGCTCTTCATGTCCATGGCTACAGTTCCCTGGCCGGAAAACTAGCCGTGAAACTTGCAGAGAATATTCTGAGCGATGATAGGAACGTCTCGTCCCATTTTAGTGCCAGGAGCAAGAGACTGGGTGTTCGCATGACATCGTTTACAAATACTATTCTGCTGAAAGCTGGTTTTCTGTGCAATGTGCTGGCAGAAGACCTGCACTGTCATCATTTAGCTTTCAAAGTCTGTATGTTAGGATTGGAAATGCCAAGGCAGCCAGCTAAGAGTAAAGCATTAGAGGTAATGACAAAGTTATTCTTCATCGTAGGTTAGAACACGCGAGTGTCGTTTTCTAACAAATTGTGTGAGTCGAATCTCACTACTATCTCTCTCATAGTGGTACCTGTTTACCCTTTTTGAACGGCAACAGTCGTAATGCCAGTCACCACTCGATATCTTACTCCCTTCGTAGAGAGGATGGTAATTTAGCTTCTCAAGGTCGAAACTTTTGTAAGGCTGAAAGTTATTGCAATCATCACGAATGATCATGGGATTCGTCAACACCTTCTCTACCAAAGTAATCACAATGACAAATCAGAGGAAAATAAAATACCCCAAAGAGCCGATGACAACTCAAAGTTTAAAAAAAAAATGTCAAGTGCCTTAAGCGCAGGAAAACGCGGCTGACCAGGTCGTTAGTGGGTGTAATTTTGCATTTGATTGGTTCAGAGAGTGGCACTTGTTGTGTGCACCAACCATGGAACGAAGTAAAGCAAAAGTAAAGCAAAACCAAAGCAATCCCTGATTTCTTTCGACACTCAATTAAAAACAGCTTTATTTGAATTAATTACAGGTCAAACTGTTACATCAAGAATCAGAGTTGGTCAGCTTGCTAAAGAAACTTCCTCTTGGACCAGCTGAACTCGCTATTGTTAAGGAAAAGGCCGGGCTTCTTCATCAGGGTGAACTGAGAAGAGGAGAGGCTGTTCTGCCCATCATGTTGGCCTCATTCATCTTTGATATCTTGAGGTCAAGCGATACTGAATCAAAAGCTAAGCGGCAAGCTGCAAGGAAACTATGCGAAACAACTAAAGAAGACGAAGAGCTGGGATTTAAAGCTGCTCTGTATGCTATAGGTACGGTGAACAAGGGTAAATTGAAGGTCATTGAATTAACTCCTGAGGTTAGAAAACTTCTATCTATTGCTGGGAAAAATTACCTCGCTATTAAACAAATTAGCTTCATTTTGTTGCCAATATCTTTTGCATGGAGCTCTATACAATCATGCTATTAACATAACAAAAAAGGTTGCGCGATAAAATCATCTATTCACTGCATACCTGTTCTGACTAATGCAAAAATTGTCTCATTGCACATTTTTCCACTTGATCTTTTCAAAAGGGTTAACAAACAAGCACCAATTGTAAATGGTCTAGAAAGGTTAATTCACTGTGATTTCTATCTTAAGTTATGTTGGTTAATTTGAATATCCCTCAACGTTATCATACACTCAAATCAAA